AGGGACAGGGGACAAGGACGGGGATAGGGGACAGGGATGGGGACGGGATAGGGGATAGGGATGGGGAGAGGGATAGGGGACAGGGACAGGGATGGGGATAGAGATTGGGAAAAGGACGGGACGGGGATAGGGACAGGGATGGGGACAGGGATGGGGATGGGGACAGGGACAGGGGACAGGGTGGGGACGGGGACAGGGACAGGAACAGGGATAAGGAATAGGAACATGGATGGGGACAGGGATGGGGATGGGGACAGGGACATGGATGGAGACAGGGACAGGGGACAAGACAAGGACAAGGATGGGACAGGGGACAGGTGAGGGACAGGGGCGGGGCAGGTGAGATGGGGGACAGAAGTGAGGGAGGTGGGACACAGGTGGGACAGGTGAGACAGGACAGGTGAGACAGGGGACAGGTGAAGGACAGGGACACAGGTAAGGGACACAGGTGAGGGACAGGGGAGGGACAGGGGAAACAGGTGAGGGACAAGTGGGACACAAGCGGGACACAGGTGGGACAGGACACAGGTGTCACCCTACCCCATGACACACCTGGGCCATGGACTGGGTGGGGCACAGGTGAGGCCCAGGGTGTGGCAAGGGGGTGTGGCAGTGGGCGTGGCCAGGTGACACACCTGTGTCATGGCCTGGGCAGGGCACAGGTGTCACGGGGGGTGTGGCAGTGGGCGTGGCCAGGTGACACACCTGTGTCACGGCCTGGGCAGGGCACAGGTGTCACGGGGGGTGTGGCAGTGGGCGTGGCCAGGTGACACACCTGTGTCATGGCCTGGGCAGGGCACAGGTGTCACGGGGGGTGTGGCAGTGGGCGTGGCCAGGTGACACACCTGTGTCACGGCCTGGGCAGGGCACAGGTGTCACGGGGGGTGTGGCAGTGGGCGTGGCCAGGTGACACACCTGTGTCACGGCCTGGGCAGGGCACGGGTGTCACAGGGGGGTGTGGCAGTGGGCATGGCCAGGTGACACACCCGTGTCATGGCCTGGGCAGGGTACAGGTGTCACAGGGGGGTGTGGCAGTGGGCGTGGCACCACAACACACCTGGGCCACGGACTGGGCAGGGCACAGGCAGGGTGGGGACAGTGGGTGTGGCAGTGGGCGTGGCCAGGTGACGCACCTGTGTCATGGACTGTGTGGCCGGGTAGCCGCTGATGGCGCTGGTGCCCTCGGTCTGCGCGTCCAGCTGCCCGTCAGCCACCTGGATCACCCGGTACATCACCTGGGGACAGGGGGGACAGCAGACAGGTGTGACACAGAGACCCCCAGAGCCACCCCGTGTCACCACCTGATCACCCAGTACATCACCTGGGGACAGGTGGGACACAGGTGTGACACAGTGACCCCAAACCCCCCATGTCACCACCTGATCACCCAGTACATCACGTGGCGACAGGTGTGACACAGGTGTGACAGTGACCCCAAACCCCCGTGTCACCACCTGGATCACCCGGTACATCACCTGGCACAGGTGGGACACAGGTGGGACACAGACCACAAACCCCCAGTGTCACCACCTCATCATCAGGTACATCACCTGGCACAGGTGACACACTCACACAGGTGTGACAGTGACCCCGAACCCCCAGTGTCACCACCTGATCATCAGGTACATCACCTGGCACAGGTGACACACTCACACAGGTGTGACAGTGACCCCAAACCCCCAGTGTCCCTCCAGGTGAGCTCCAAGTTGGGACAGGTGTCTGTCACCACCTGGAACATCACCTGCCACCTCACACAGGTGTGACACAGAAACCTCCCCAGAGCCACCCCACAGTGTCCCCCAGGTGTCCCCAGGTGTGCCACACCTGCTCTTGGTGTGCAACCAAAGCCCCCCAATCCCCAGGTACCTCCCAGGTGTGCCCAGGTGTATCTCAGATGCCTCCCCAGGTATATCCAAGCCCCCCCCAGGTGTGCCCAGGTATATCCCAGAGAGGGACAAGTGGGACACAAGCGGGACACAGGTGGGACAGGACACAGGTGTCACCCTACCCCATGACACACCTGGGCCATGGACTGGGTGGGGCACAGGTGAGGCCCAGGGTGTGGCAAGGGGGTGTGGCAGTGGGCGTGGCCAGGTGACACACCTGTGTCACGGCCTGGGCAGGGCACAGGTGTCACAGGGGGGTGTGGCAGTGGGCATGGCCAGGTGACACACCTGTGTCACGGCCTGGGCAGGGCACAGGTGTCACAGGGGGTGTGGCAGTGGGCGTGGCCAGGTGACACACCTGTGTCACGGCCTGGGCAGGGCACAGGTGTCACAGGGGGGTGTGGCAGTGGGCATGGCCAGGTGACACACCTGTGTCACGGCCTGGGCAGGGCACAGGTGTCACAGGGGGGTGTGGCAGTGGGCGTGGACCACAACACACCTGGGCCACGGACTGGGCAGGGCACAGGCAGGGTGGGGACAGTGGGTGTGGCAGTGGGCGTGGCCAGGTGACGCACCTGTGTCATGGACTGTGTGGCCGGGTAGCCGCTGATGGCGCTGGTGCCCTCGGTCTGCGCGTCCAGCTGCCCGTCAGCCACCTGGATCACCCGGTACATCACCTGGGGACAGGGGGGACAGCAGACAGGTGTGACACAGAGACCCCCAGAGCCACCCCGTGTCACCACCTGATCACCCAGTACATCACCTGGGGACAGGTGGGACACAGGTGTGACACAGTGACCCCAAACCCCCCATGTCACCACCTGATCACCCAGTACATCACGTGGCGACAGGTGTGACACAGGTGTGACAGTGACCCCAAACTGGGGAGGGGAACCCCAAACTGAGGGGGGACATGGGATTGGGGGGCACACACCCGAAACTGGGGAGGGGGCACGGCATGAGGGGCACCCCAAATTGGGGTGGGGAGTGACACAGGATTGGGGGGGACACAAAACCTCCCCAAATCCCCCCTAAAGACCCCAAAACCTCCCCAAATCCCCCCAAAGACCCCAAAACCTCCCCAAAACATTGGGGGCGCCCAAACTGGGGGTCATGGCATTGGGGGGGCACCCAAACTGGAGAGGGGCACCCAAACTGGGGGTCACGGCATTGGGGGCGCCCAAACTGGGGGGGCACAGCATTGGGGGGCACCCAAATCAGGGGGGCACTCAAACTGGGGGGGGCACTCAAACTGGGGAGGGGAAACCCCAAACTGGGGGGGGGAACCCCAAACTGAGGGGGGACATGGGATTGGGGGGCACACACCCGAAACTGGGGAGGGGGCACGGCATGAGGGGCACCCCAAATTGGGGTGGGGAGTGACACAGGATTGGGGGGGACACAAAACCTCCCCAAATCCCCCCTAAAGACCCCAAAACCTCCCCAAATCCCCCCTAAAGACCCCAAAACCTCCCCAAATCCCGCCCAAAAAAACTCCAAAACCTCTCCAAATCCCCCCCAAACCCCAATTTTGGGGTCCCCCCTCACCTTCCTGGATCTGCACCGTCCCCTCCTCGGTCTCAGCTGCTTTTTGCTGCCTGGTGGGGGGAACAAAACAGTGAGGGGGGGTCCCTGAGCCCCCCAAAACACCCAAACCCCAAATCTGGGATCCCCCAAATCGCCCACCCCGCGTGTGTCCCCCCCATGGGGCAGTTTTGGGGGTCTTGAGGCCATTTTGGGGTCCCAGATCAGATTTGAGGGGGGATCTTCAGGCAGTTTTGGGGGGATCCCAGATGAGATCTGGAGATCCTGGGGCAGTTTGGGGGCGTCCCAGGTCAAAGTTTTGGGGTCCTGGGTCAGATTTGGGGGGTCCCAGGTCATCATGGGGAGTTCCCAGAGCAGATGTTGGGGTTCCAGAGCAGGTTTTGGGGTCCCAGGTGGATGTTGGGGTTCCAGGTGGGTTTTGGGGTCCCAAGTTAGATTTTGGGGTCCCAGGTGGGTTTTGGGGTCCCAAGTTAGATTTTGGGGTCCCAGGTGGGTTTTGGGGTCCCAAGTTAGATTTTGGGGTCCCAGGTGGGTTTTGGGGTCCCAGGTGGGTTTTGGGGTCCCAGAGCAGGTTTTGGGGTTCCAAGTTAGATTTTGGGGTCCCAGGTGGGTTTTGGGGTCCCAGGTGGGTTTTGGGGTCCCACTCACCCCTTCATGGCTCGGCTCCCTCGGGCATCAGCGGGGCGGGAGCGGAGCAGCCTGACGGCCTTCAGAGCCCTGCGGGGACAGTGGGTCAGGACACAGGGGCACAGGGACACAGGGACAGTGGGTCAGGACACAGGGGCACAGGGACACAGGGACAGTGGGTCAGGACACAGGGGCACAGGGACACAGGGACAGTGGGTCAGGACACAGGGGCACAGGGACACAGGGACAGTGGGTCAGGACACAGGGGCACAGGGACACAGGGACAGTGGGTCAGGACACAGGGGCACAGGGACACAGGGACAGCGGGTCAGGGACACAGGGGACACGGGGACAGAGGGGTCAGAGACATAGGGACAGAGGGACAGCAGGGTCAGGGACATGGGGACACAGGGACATGGGGAGAGCAGGATCAGGGACATGGGACATGGGGACAGCGGGGTCAGGACACAGGGACACAGGGACAGTGGGTCAGGACACAGGGACACAGGGACACAGGGACAGCGGGTCAGGGACACAGGGGACACGGGGACAGAGGGGTCAGAGACATAGGGACAGAGGGACAGCAGGGTCAGGGACAGCAGGACACAGGGACATTGGGACACAAGGGACATCGGGGCGAGGTCAGGGATGTTGGGAGACAGGGACACACAGATCCGGGGATGGGGACAGGGATGGGGACAGGGACATGGGGACAGGGACACAGGGACAAGGGGGTCAGGGATGGGGACAGGGATGGGGCTACAGGCTCAGGGACAGGGACATGGGGACAGGGACAAGGGATGGGGACAGGGACATGGGGACAGGGACAGGGTGAGGACAGGGACAGGGGTGGGGACAGCACAGGGACACAGGAATACAAGGATGGGGACAGGACAGGGATGGGGACAGGGATATGGGGACAGGGACAAGGGATGGGGACGGGGACACAGAGGAGTCAGGGACAGGGACAAGGGATGGTGACAGGGACACAGGGACAGGACACCGGCCATCCTGACCAGACACTGGCCACCACCATGGGACACCGGCCACCACAGCAGGACAGTGACCACTGTGACAAGCCACCAGCCACCACGGGACAGTGGCCACCATGATGGGACACCGGTGACCACCACGGGACACTGGTGACCACCACGGGACACTGGCCACCATGATGGGACAGTGGCCACTGTGACCAGCCACCAGCGAGGGCCACCACAAGTGACCAGAGGCCACCACCTGTGACCACAGCCACACCTCCAGGTGTCCCCTCACTGCCCCCTTTCCCCCCCAGCGTGTCCCCAAAGCCACACACTTGTCCCCAAAGCCACCAGCTCTGCAGGGTGGCGCTTTGGGGTGGCCACAAGGTGGCCGTAACCTCCCCCCTCAGTGTCCCCAGTGTCACCCCGAGCGGTGGCAGTGACACAGCGGCCACCCCGGGGGAGGGGGGCTGTCCCTTGTCACCTCCCCCGGCAGGTGACAAGCTGGGGGTCAGTGGGGGGGGGGTGACAGATGGGGGACAGGGATGAGGGGGTGACAGTGACAATGACACACTGGGAGGGACACAAGGGGG